TGCAGTCATCTCCACCCACACACTGTTTTCCCTCCTTCATCTTGTTTTTCTCATGTTATTCCTCTTTTTTTCTCAGGAGATGGAGAGTTGGGTGCTGATTGGTAAGATGATTGACAAGGTTTGTTTCTGGGCAGCCATCTTGCTATTCTCTGTTGGCACAGTGGCCATCTTCCTTATGGGTCACTACAACCAGGCACCTGATTACCCATTTCCTTGGGAGAACAAAAAGTACTTACCTGAGTAGAGAATAAGACTCTGTCCAAAAGAAAGAAGGAACTAGCAAAGAGCATGCTCTTGTCTGCTTATGTGATATATAAAATAAATACCAAGACAGGTTTTATAGCTGGAGTTAGAGTACAACAAGCTGCACATGATTTGATCAGGATTGTATGACTTGTTACATGATCTTGTCTTATATTTGATATTAGGGACTATGGGTGTCCATGCATGTGTTAACAACTTTACACACTAGTTACACTAGGGGGATTTTTACAGAAATGTTCATTTTTCTTGTATTTGTGCAAACAGTATTAATTAGTGAAATAATAAGGAATAAATAAACTAATGGTTTCAGCTTATTTCAGACCATGTAGTGGTTTTCTAGTTCATTGTGGCTGCAGTTTGTAACACCCCAAACCAGTTTATCATCTGTTATCAAACTGTAATGTAACAGTATGTGTTACAATTGTGTGTTACATCAGCCACTTTTTATACAGTGATTGCACTGTAATATTTAATATTAGTATTATAGAAGATGCATGCTCATTTTTGTTTGTTCCATGTTATCTTATGTATCTCTTTGTCGTAAAATGTTATTTTGATTTTACTTATGCAATTTTGCATTAAGTTTATTATTTACTATAAACTCTTTATATATACAAAAAATATTGTGGCCTCTTTGCAGTGAATAAATGGACTCTTAATTCACACACTGTCTTAAAATATCCTGTGCAAACGCACAAGAAACAAGTTTGATGTCTGCTTTTACGAACATTTTTAAATCCTTATTAAGCATTGTGCTTTTGTGATTTTTCTATATGCGCCAAAGAAGGAAAATAAAATAACTGGCATAATCAAGGTAAAAATCTGATTCTTTTTTTTAGCTTGGCTACCACACTTGGTAAAGTGGTACAAACGTTGTCACTGTCGTGGTAACTTTTCAAAGGTTCTACAGGTCCTTACAGCTACTAATAGCCTATGTACTATTTTAGGGAATAATAATGGAGCTTCAGTAGCACTGATTTTACTTAACGAGCTTTCATCTTGATTTTCTTCATCGCCTTTAAAGTGGAATTATAAATTACAATGAATTTTGTAACTACTCTGACTTTATAGTTTTTATATTTAAATATTTTACAGTGTATATTGTTCAAACAAAAAGTGATATTTTCAATTGTACAGTGACCTACATTTCCTGTACTGTTGCGCTGAAAGTGTTAATTTCCTGCCATACCCGGAGGTTTCTGTTGCGTGTTTGCTTCCTGTGGTCCACGCTCTCACAGACTATACACAGAGGAGTGTATCCTCTGATGTGGGTTTTATCAGTGTGTTGTTTGAGTTTTCATAAACTGTTTCAGCAGTACAGATGCTCCTTTATCGCCTCTGAGGATTTTGTGATAAGACGCTGCTCATCAGTGCTGCAGCTTCCCGCGTCGCATCTACGCAAATTACGGTGGAGATATGGAAGGTTTGCGCTAGAGACAAATGCAGGTATATTTGATTCAATAAATCGCCCAAGAATTATAGAGCGTGTCTGTGTATTAAATATTTCCCAAGACGGACCACTTTATTTTATTTTATTTTCTTACAAGCGCCAGAAATGGCAAGTAAAATTTTGATGCATATGCACTTACGTATTCATTTTCCCTGCGGACCATTCTCGGGGCTTTACGGTAAATTTGGCCTCAGAAGTTTGTCTACGTTGAATGTAACAGCGCCTTGGGAGTTGTGATGGGGGATAAGTTATCCAGAAATTTGAGTCTAACTGGGAAATAACAATCTACGAAACTACAAGGTGCCAGACGAGCGCTTAATCGCGACAGTTTCCTTGGTGGTGAGTAATATATAATAAAATCTTGATTAGAAAGAGGTAACGTTATTATCATGGCGCATCGGAAAATGAGGCTTCACGTACATTTTTAACAGTGAAATGTAAAATGTCTTTCTCACGCTTGTCTTTACACACTGATTGGCACCTCTTATTGCTATAAACATCTGTGCTGTTTTAAAGCACCTAGATTTTCCATCCGAGTCTTGTGTTAAATCGCGAGTGAAAACGTGTCCCGTAAAAACACGAGACTGGAATGTTAATGGTCTTGATAAAGACCACTGATGCATAAACACCGACTCTGTCTCAAAAACGAATGGGTTATCTATCTAGATAGCATTTGGTGCACTATAAAGTGTGTAAACGCGTGATGCCCACTAGCTGAGCAGCGCACTAGTATTGAGACACGGCCACCCTGTTCATTCCCACGTCCTCTTGACTGTTGATGGATTAACAAGTGGACAGCTTCATCCGGGTTACCAGATAGAAGCAGGTTGGGAGAGATTTTTGAAGAGGGAAAGTGTCGAAAGAGAGAAAGGTGTGTGTTCACAGGACAGGAAAAGAGGCGAGATGAGCGTAGATAAATCAATCAAAATCACATTTCCTAATCACATTCTAGGTCCTGGGGGGGGAAAAAATAATTTCAACAATGTGTGATCCAGGACAAGCATTTGAGTTTGATTTTTACTAGTAATACCAAAGACTATAGAATACCTTAAAGGGACTTTGGTAATACCTAATAATGAAACAGAATTTAATACATACCTTTTAAAAATACACAATTCTGGCATAAACATTTCCATTCCAAGTATCACTTATTTGACATATCAGTCATGTACAAATGTAATTGTGGTTGCAGCTGTTGTTATCAGGCTAATATTGAGTTTCAGGAAATCAAAGATTATTGAGTCCTGGGTGCAGTTCCTTCTAAGTAACTGATTTTAGCTGTGGCTTTCATATCTAGGCAATACAGTTGCTAATGTTGAAATCATCAAATGCAAACAGCTGCATTATCTCAAGAGTGAAATGCTCTGTCAAATCATTTTACTCATACAAGGTTTTATGATTTGTTTGATCTGCTATCTTGTTATAAGATTATGATGTGTTGAATATCTCCCTCTCTTTCTTCCAGCTCTGTGTCTAGTGTTTCACCTGCAGCCTGGTTGCCTCGCAACAGTGGGCACAGTCAGCCAGTGCAACGCCCTCTAATACCCTCTCTCTACCCTACTGTTCGCTTCCTTAATATAAGATGCTTAATATTTGAATTTATAACACAGTCCCGTTCAAAGGTTTGGGGTCAGGAAAATTTGTTTTTGAAGGAAGTCTCTTATGCCCAGCACAGCTTTGTCTAAAGGGGTCATATGATGCTTTTTTAAAGATCATTATTTTGTGTATTTGGTGTAACAGAATATGTTGACATGCTTTAAGAAAATACAGTATATCGAATATCAAAAATACAGTAAAAACAGTAATATTGTGAAATATTATAATTTAAAATAGCTGTTTTCTATTTAAATATGTTTTAAAATGTAATTTATTCATCTGATAGCAAAGCTGAGTTTTCATCTTGTTTCTTGTTCATGTTTCTTCAGAAATCATTCTGATTTGCTGATTTGGTGCTCAAGAAACATTTCTTATTATTATCAATGCTGACAGTTGTGCTGCTTAACATTTTAGTGGAAACTGTGATAATTTTTTTCAGGATTCTTTGATGAATATAAAGTTCAATGAACAGATTTTTGTTTTTAAGATAAATCTTTTGTAACAATGTAAACGTCCTTACCATCACTTTTGATCAATGTAATGCATCCTAGCTTAATATAAGTATTCACATTTACATGTCTTAAACCTTTTGAAAAGTAGTGTATTTCTACACTTATATCTGAAAAATCCTAAAAAAAATATATAATGACTTTAATACTTTACTTTAAATAAAATGTATTAATAGTTGAAAAGTAGGCCTGTCGCAATAATCAATATATCGACTTATCACGCAATATATGTACATGACCTCAATAATTTTTGGTGACGCAATATATCGCCCATTATATTTACTTAAAAATTAATGCCACCACGTTTTGTACATTCCACTTGCGCCTGTGTTTTTGCAGCTTCTCGTACATAACGTGGTGTAGTCATGAGGTGCTAGTTCAAATTTTAAAAATGAAAAAATCTGTAGACGGAAAAATCTCCATCTCCATCTTTTTTTCTACTTGTTACTCTGCACTTCTTGTTAGAAAATGTTTATTTACTATTTATTCAAGTTTTTTAAGGTTTCTAATATTTTGATACCTAATTTCCATGATCTAAATATTCTTAAAAATTAAAAGTTTGTTGTCATTTGGAAGTGTGAAGTCCTTCTTGCATTATTATACTGTTACATTATGATTATACAGTATATTCAGTGGCATAAAATGGTCTTTAAAATGACAATAATATCGCTTATCGCAATTATTTCTGGGGCAATATATCGCACAACAAAAAGTTGTTATCGTGACAGGCTTATTGAAAAGTAATACTATTGTAAATTGTGCATATTTATAAGTTGCCTTAGTTGTTGCCAAAAATTAATCATCAGGGGAATCATAGATGTTTTGTTAAATTTAGTTTAACAAATGAAACATCTATGATTCCCCTGAGGTTATTAAGATGTGCATATGTGTCAGCGCTGATGTCACAATCGTATCAAATGTCGTTACAGAGCCTAATATCATATTACCTAAGGTATCTTTCTCTGCATTGGTAATTACTTACTACAGCGCCATTTCACAGCCCTGTACCTGGAGGTTCCCCAACATGTTTCTCACTTATTAGGCACACCTATTTCAGGTGTTGGAGTCTCTACTAATGCACTGATGAGTTGAATCAAGCTGTTTAATTAGGGAGACATCCAAAATGTGTGGTTTTGAGGGGCCTGCAGGAACATGGTTGGAAACTATTGTACTACATGAATTAATAAAGTTAGAACATGACTTTTACTATACATATGTCAAATCTGTTGAAAGCAATCAGTTATCTATTTTATTTCTCTTTCCACTTTTTATTTGTTTTCTCTCAACTCAAGAATCATTTCCATATTTTGAACAAAAGAATGAAGAGGTAACTTTATAACAAATCATCTGTAACACAGCTGGAGTGCAGTCTTTTATTGCTAGAATGATGGACTCCTTTGTTTTGTGGGGAAAGTTGCTTTAGAAAGACAATTCAGCCCAAAGACAATCTGGAATGACTCCAACAGCCACACGCGATTTAGCTTTATTGTCCTAGTTATTTTTACTTGTGCTTAAATAAATACAGATTATGTGATAATAACAACAGTGCAGACAAATCCTGCACCTGTGAAAGTAAAATACACTTACAGTAATAACAATAATCAATGGTGTTTTTTAATTATGCGTCTTTTCATACATATTATGCTATGCGGCTTAAGTTTAAAGGAACAAACAAACGGAACCAAATCAAATGAGAATAATAAACAGAAATACACAAAAGAAATACAAAAAAGTATATGGATGCAAAGAATATGATGGATCTACTGTCTTCCAGTTGGAAGAAAACGTTAAGCAGATAAAATATGGTTAGATTTATCTTGCCGATACAGCTGGTATGAATGGTTTCATGAAATGTGTGCACTTTGTGTTAGAAGCCCAAATCTCTATAGCCATCTTTCTGCTACCTGTAGAATTTTTGCAATTGGCTTTACATCTGTTCTTATCAAGTGTTTTCAAACCAGTGTTGTTTATAGTAAGGTGCACAAATGAAAACTTAAACTGTGTGTATCAGGACAGGTAGCTGAGAATATTGATAAGAGAAGCTGCGTTAAGATTTGGTGTAAATGGAGAAGAACAAAGGTCTCAGCACAGATCCCTGCTGTACCCCAGTTGTGAACAGCCTCCGCTGTTTCCACATTTAGAGAATAGTTTGTTTGCCTCTAGTTTTATCTAATATCATGCATTTCACATTTTGTAAACTATGTCAAAAAGCATAGCTAATGTTTTCCCTCTTTGTGTGCCTGGGTGTTTTTGTTTGTTGGTGTGTTTGCACAGGTGTGTCGTGGTCCAGTAGCCTTATGGCTAGTTCTGAGACAGATGCAGCAAAAAGGTGGCAGAAATGTGTGGACACTGTGCTGTGCAACCTTACTAAGGATCAACTGAAATCTATTGAAAACAACAGTGGTGAGACAAATCACCTACTCAGTATTTATTATCACTAATTTTAAACCCTCCCTGTAACTTTCATGTGAGCTTGAAGATCAGTCAAGATCACCTTGATCAGTGGGTTCATGTGTGTTTGATTTGAGCTGAAATTAGATGGGGCTCAAATTTTCTTTCTTTTTTAAGTTGTTGTTCAGTGCTTGCCCCATAGCTAGGATTACCATGTAGATTATTTGCATACCTTGCTGCTGCCTGTCCCCACCTTGATGCCCAAATGTATTGGAGTTGTACATCTGTTTTATTGTTTTTAATAGTTTAGACTTTTAATATTGGCCATTATAATAAATATTATAACAAATATAATAAAATGTTATTTATTGGTGTGAACTAAAATTGTGATATCAGAACATGTTTTCTGATATACACAATCAAGACCCTGACAATGTCAATATGAGCAGTAAGGCAAGGTCTTAAATGGCAAAGGACAGGCATAATGAACAAAAACATTAGTTATTAGTTATTTGCTTCACAATTCACTGTTAACCTCCGGACTTCTTTTCAATCATTTACTTGTCTCTAAGGACAAAGGATTATTTATGCCACATCCACATGTCAGTCATGCTTGTAAGAACAGGTATTCTAAGTGTGACAGTGGGTCCTTATACTTCCTTGTGAAAAGATTGCAAAAAATGTTGAATGCAGAGAGAGCAGTGACTGGTTTCACAGCTGTTTTGTCTCATTCACATGCTTCTAGAAGAATTATTTTCTTAAGCATAACGCTGTAACTGAGTGACTTGTGATCTTTGACCCCTGGTGATATAACATTGTTGACACTGAGGCCTGTCACAATGGCTGTTTTTCAAAACAGAGGGGCCAAATATAGAAACATCTGTTATTCAAAATATAATGTAAACCTGAAAATAAGAGTCATTATTGTGTAAAATAATAAGAAATCATTTAGATTCTGTAAGTTTCTAGTTCACTAATCACAGAAGGAAGTCTAAAACATCAGATGGTCAGATGTTCCTCCACTGAAGCACAAAATGCTCTTGGATCAAGACCAGCTCATTCGAGTCTAAGTCAAGACTGAGTCCACATACTCCTAAGTACATGACAAAACCAAGACCATGAAATATGGTCTTCAAGTCTGAGTCCAAGACCATATTTGCATGGTCTTGGTCTTGTTATGGACTGAGGAGCAAGTGGACTCAGTCTTGACCCGCTTCTGGTCTCTGTCCCGACTCTCATAGTCTTGACTACAGCATCGCGTTTTACCAACACCTGTGGAGTTCATCCAGCTTGAATGCTGCTCTTATTAAATCAGAAATTCCTGATGATTTTTCAATTCAAATTTTCACTTAAACTGCTTTGCTGGAATATTTTGTATTAAATTAGACAAAAAAGTGCATAACATCATTATGCCTTATGCTTGTCTTTCATTATATCTATCAGAGGAACGGGACTTTTTTGTGGTACATCACCTGGCAGACCTGAAAGATGGTTGCATCTCTCCTCTCATTCATGGCACACCTATCACCTGTAAAGTGGAAAACACAGAGCGATACACCACCCGCTCTAAGGTGCGTTTGTGGGTGTGTACTTAATAATGTGTTGTGGTGCTATACCTAACAGTGTAAAAATCCTGTTTGTAGGTACATGTGTGCACTCTCTACACGGTCTGTCTGACACATGGCGAGTTCACATGGACGTTAAAAAGAAAGTACAAGCACTTCCAGGAGCTCCACAGAGACCTGTACAAACACAAAATGATGCTGCAGTTCTTGCCTCTGGGGAGGTGAGCGCACACAAACAGGCCCATGCAAATTCACAATGCTTCATTTGTTTGGGCGGGAGTTTTGACCTGGTGTTTTCCTTCCATTGTTCTTGTGATTTGAATTAGATTTGCCATTCAGAGACAACAGCTGGCAAGTTTGACAGAGGAAATGCCAACTTTACATGGAAGTGATAGAATCAGGAGAACGTCTAGCAAACCGGTACATACGTAATAACGCAAAACCCACCTCCCTCTAAAAGTTGTACACCCACTGTATTGTATGTATTGTGTTACGTGTGTTTTTCAGAAATATCTGGAGGAATATGTAAACAACTTGCTAGAAAACACTTTCTACAAGAACTATCATGGGATGGTGAGAAGCTTACATGAAAATACGTATATACATATAATTACTATGCACATAATTTATAAGTATATACATGTAATTACTATGTTTTTAACTGACATTAATATACTTTTTGTATACTTGTCTACTTATACTGTATATTGATGGTTATCCGTCCTTCTATATTGGTTCTACTGAATAATAATAAAAATGTTTTATATATTATACTTTAATGACTGTCAGTCCTTCAATGTTGATAATAATGATATTAATGATAATGCATGTTTTTATTGTTAAAATCAATTTTTTTTGTTGTGTTAAAAAGCTGTATTAAATACGTTTGGCTATTGGACAACATAAAAATAATTGTTACTGTATCACATATTGTATTATTAGTCAATCTGTAATGTTTGTTATGGATGTGCCTGGATGTCTCCAAAAAGATTTTTTGTCAGATTAAGCTAAATTCTGGAGGCAGTTTTCTCCTCAAAGTGTATGCAATTTGGACAAATACTGCAGAGGATTGTGGTTTTATGCTTGCTTATTAAAGTGTGTATTGTGCTCTCAGTTGGACTTCCTGGCAATCAGTCCACTGTCCTTCATCAGAGACCTTGGACCCAAAGGCCTGTGAGTACAGATTGTGTGTGTTTCTTCTCTTGCAATTTTAGTACTATTCCATTTTTGCCTGAGTGTATTTCTGCAGCTCTTTTTTTTCAGTCATTGTTTGTTTTTTTTCCACAGTGAAGGTTATATTCTGAAACGATCCGGGGGTCACCGCATCCAGGGGCTCAACTGCATCGGTCACCATCAGGTCTGCTTCCGCTGGTCTCGCCGTTGGCTTGTGGTAAAGGATTCATTCCTTCTGTACATGTCCAGGTGGGTTTCACCACAATACAAACACACCCACATGTGTACTGTTATCTGTTACTTCACACTGCTCTCTTGTTCTTTTCTGTTGTTTCATGTTACAACATGCCTTTCAGAGCTGTGAATGTATGAGAAGAACACAAATCAGCCGCTTGTTTTTGCTGTTTCTTTCAGTTTTTTTTTTATTTAGCAGCTATTTTTAATTCATTGTCCATCAGCTTGAGTCATAGTTTTTGGAACCATCCATTGTCATGCGACAAACCTCTAATTTTACCCTTAGAAAATAAAAATGAAAGACGCTACATCTAGCATCCTTCATTTATGCAGTATTGTGCAATATTGTACAATGTAGGGTGGAAAGGGTTGTCACTCAAAACACATATTGATCCCTCTCAGCCTGCAGCTTACTTCCGGTGTCAGAATCACAGAAGGTCATTCAAAGCTTACAGCTGTAGTTGGAGATAATGCAGGAGTTAGTGCTTGGACTAGAACCCAGTCAAACAAGTTCCCCCTCTGTGTTGTGTCATCAATCAGAACAGATGCTAGGTGTTTAGAGGACTTGCATCAAGTGCAGATGGAAGTTTATATCTCTAATACAATTTAAAATAAGTTTGCACTGGTCAGGAGTGTCACATTCAAGCCCTCAGTTGCACACCACTAAATGTTTAACAGCATTTTAAAATATGCCATTCAAAATATGAACATGAGTCATCATGTTCCTCCTTCCTTTTACAGCTTGAGCCAGTTAAAATGAGTTGCTGTAACCATGCATCGTGTGTGAGCCAAACAGGCCGACCAGTTCTAGAAAACAGAACGGTTTCCTTGTAAACATTGGTGAAACTTTGCCCAGCCCTTCATTGTGTGCTAGTAAAAAGCCCTTAGGGTAAATATGTAAGCTTAAGTGAGTTATTGGCATATATTTGACAAAATATTTCTATAAATATTTTTTATTTATAAGAAAATAAATTTCTATTTTGCTGAACAAAAGAATTAATTTCTTAAAAAAATGAAATGGTAATGGTAGTGTATTATCAATGTCAACCTGACAAAATCATTTGTTTGTTTTTATTTTGGTGTATAAAATGTTGCTGGATTCTGCTCTAAGTAGCCTCAAGCTTTTATTGTTTACTACCATACTCATATTTAATGTTGATTAATATTTAATGTAACATTCTAGTGACTAATTTTTATAATTGATTTTCTGTTGTTGTTTTCTGCTGTGTATGAGCAGAGATCCTGGCGTTGTGTCGTTTGTGCTGCTGTTTGACCCTGAGCTGAAGGTGTTGGTTGGAAGTGTTTACACTGATACCAAGCATGGCGTCTGCATCGAGAACTTCAGCAGGTAAAAAATGTCTGAGTCTGAGGAAAAATATAAGGAAGTCTTCCTACTACCGGTACTTGCACCAATCTGACAGAGCGTTTTACAGAGACGTGTGCAGCCACAGCTGGTATGTGTGTGTTTTGTAGAAAGCTGGTGATTAAGTGCAGTAGCTACAGGCAGGCCCAGTGGTGGAGTCATGAGATTCAGAGTCTCTCTGAGTGCTGTGATTTCCTCCAGATGCATCGCTTTGAAGGCTTCGCCCCACCCAGACCGGACACTCTGACAAAGTGGTGTGTGCATTTATGTAATATGTCCTTGGATGAACTTTCGATCAAGGAAAATTGACTGATTGAGTAGTTTGTGTAATGGAGTGGGTGCTGAGACTCATTGGTTGATTGACAGGTATGTTAATGGGAATGGCTATTTCTCAGACGTGGCTGATGCCCTGGAACAGGCCAAGGAGGAGATCTTCATCACTGATTGGTGGTAAGTGTACTGTCTTCCACACACACATGTACAGTACATGGCCTGAATGGGTCAGCAGCTCCATTTGTGATCATGTACTGTATACAATCCAGACATAACTGCTTCCACCATGTTCCCACAGTGTTAGTTGCGTCTGTTTTCCCCTCCTGTGGTCTCATGGGATAGTAACATGTCCTTTGAAACAAAAGTAATCTGGGTATTTTTGTCTACTTCCTTATTGTATCCTAATCATGTGGCATACTGCTTTTTGGATGCTATATATCAGGGGTCAGCAAGTAAGTTTGGCATCGGGCCAAAAAAAAATGTCGCCACTAGATGGTGGGCCAGAACATAGTCAAAGGATCGTTTAAGAAATTAATTGATGAAAAATGCAACTAGAACAGCCTGTGACAGACTGTTACTGTGTCTTTTGTAACTGGTAGTGAGATGTTACTCTGTGTTAAATCCTGTAGGAGGACAGGCATTAACAAAAAGCCACATTTGTGTGGCGGTGTCTGGCAGAGTATGTGAGCGGAGTGGGGCGTCAACAATTTCCTCTCCGTGCTCCGAGCATTTAATAATCACTCCACTCCGGGTTCACCATTTCCTGCTCCCGCTCCACTCCGCACTCACTGATCTCAGAAACACCGCTCCGCCTTCGCTAAAGTATTTCAGTATGTTTGAAATATCACAGTTCTGAATCTGTTCTTAACCTATATTAAAAAATAAAATAACAGGAGAGTTTCAAAGAGGGTTATTGGAACACTAGTGTGCAAACTTTTTTCCTACCACATGACAAGCTAATAACATGGTTGTCAGCATTAAAAGGTATAATCGCTGCTTTTTGCAGTGCAAATTTTGTTTGTGATGAAAATAACAGTACGTTTTCGTTCTTACAGATTTCTGCTCATTCTAAATCAGATACAGAAGTAGCACTGTAAGATTACATTTGTTTGAATGCATTATTGAGAGAGCGATTGCGTGTGAATAAGTGTTGTAGTACTTGTTTAAATCATGCTTTCACCTGAAAATATTCAGTATCTAGAGGGAACAAACAAATTCCTTGAGAACTATAACTTCCCGCTCATGTCTATTGCCGTCATCGTAGCTTCACATTCTTTCTGATTTGAGTGATCCTTCTCTATCAAGCTAGCTAAATATGTTTAACATGTGAATTCTTTCTAAATATGCAGTTATATTACGGGCTGTTGGCACGAATTGTACTCGTGATGGAGTGGTGGTGGAGCACTCTTGGAGCGAGTGAAAACCACAACGCTCCGACTTTTAAAAAATCCGCTCCTCGCTCCAGTCAAAATCACACCACTCCACTCCGCGCTCCGCTCACATACTCTGATTGTGAGTAACTGTTGCTGTCATGACAGATCTATTTTAGAACCAGCCGCTATCAAAATAATTTGGCTGCGGGCGTGGGCCAGATATTATTACTGGCCTGTTGCCGACCACTGCTATATACTGTAAACTTTTTTCTTTTATTCAGCAAGGACAAATTAAATGGATCAAAAGTGACAATAAAGACATTTAGAATGTTACAGAAGATTTATATTTCAAATAAATGCTGTTCTTTTGAACTTTGTTCATCAAAGAATTCTAAAAAAAAGATGAATTGGCATTTCCACAAAAATATTAAGCAGCACAAATGTTTTAACATTGATAATAATAGGAAAAGTTTCTTGAGCAGCAAATAAGAATATTAGAATGATTTCTTTAAAGATCACGTCACACTAAAGACTGGAGTAAAATAGAAATGGTTAAATTGTAATAAAATTTCACAAAATGAATATTGTTCGTTCCTGTATTTTTGATCAAAGTAATGCATGAAAAAAGTAAAGAAAAACATTTTAAAATCTTACAGTTCCTCGAACTTTTGTACTAGCTAAGTAGACGCAGTCGGATGCTGGGAATATCAAAGATTTAGTTATACAATATTTGTTGCCATTGTTTAGTATGGTGTCATATATTTAATGTGTTGAAAATATATGTGTGAGTGAAAGTGTTGTGAAGATATTTGAGTTTTTCTCTCTGCAGGCTCAGTCCAGAGGTTTTCCTTAAACGTCCAGCTACAGGAACGTACTGGCGCTTGGACAAGATTCTCAGACGCAAAGCAGTATGGAGGAAGACCCTTTTACATTACATTAATCTGCTATACATTAAATGAATTCTCTCCCATATCTATCTTAAAAAGCACCCCATCTGTCAGACAATCATTTATAATTGTAACTATAAATAACTGTCTATAACTATAGATATAGTTATATTGATGGCCATGAACTTTAACACGACCCTATGTGTGTATGTGTGTGTGTGATGTTTAGGAACAAGGCGTGAAGGTGTGTGTGTTGTTGTATAAGGAGGTGGAACTGGCTCTGGGTATCAGCAGTGGCTACAGCAAGAGAACACTGATGAACCTGCACCCCAATATTAAGGTCTGATGTACTACACAGTACACACATATCTGTTCTTACTGCTGTTTGTCCTCTCATCCTTCCCACTTTTGTCATTTGTCAACATCATGATAGCTGTCTCACTATGTTATGAATGACTCAGTCTGTACTTCTTTTGCCCTAGGTGATGCGTCACCCTGATCATGTTGCCTCAGTTGTGTTCCTCTGGGCCCATCATGAGAAAATGGTTGCCATCGACCAATCAGTGGCCTTTGTGGGTGGGTTGGATCTTGCGTTTGGGAGGTGGGATGACAGCGACTATAGGCTGAGTGATGTGGAACCCACTCAGCTCGAGGCAGCCCGAGAGGTACAGTTATATCCAGTAGATATGATGGCATACTTAATTGATGTGTCTATCTCTTACTCTTTATCTTTCTGTGTTTAATTTCACTCTTATACCTTCCCTCTCTCTCTTCCTGTCTCAGTCTGATGCTGTGGATGGCTCTGCTGTTCCTCTGACAGAACCTTTGTCAGAGTGTGAGGATGAAGTGGATCTGAGCTGTAATGCCCTCTTGTGGCTGGGAAAAGATTACAGCAACTTTATCAAGAGAGATTGGACACAGCTGGACCAGCCCTTTCAAGGTACACAGTCCAATGCAGATTTACATTATTACTTACATTTTTTTAATCACCACTTGAAAATCTTTTTATGAAAACAGTATTTTTGAACTACAACCTAATTTGGTTATTTAGTTCTATATATTAGATGTGGAAAATGTTCCCTCTAAGTCCATAAAGGAACATAAAGAAACTCACATTGGCCATGACTTGCTAGCTGTCTTGTTGTGATTAATGCAATGAATTTCTTACTTTTCTTGTCTTTTTTTTTTTTTAAGAAAACAAGATCTCTTGGTACACTAGATTACTAGATTATTTATGTATTGTTATTAATTGCATTACACTTCATATAAACATCATATATTGCAATGTTTGCACTACTGTTCAATTTTTTTTTTTAGATTTTGGTGCATTAATTTGATCAAATATTAAGTAAAATTGTGAAATATTATAACAATTTAAAATAATGATTTTCATTTTGAACAAAATTTTAATTTATTCCTGTAATGAGAGCAGAATTTTCAGCAGTGTCACATGATTCTTCAAAAATAATTCTAATATGCTGATTTGCTGCTCAAGAAATATTTCTTATTATTATCAATGTTAAAAACTGTTGTGCTGCTTGATATTTTTGTGGAAACTGATACTTTTTTTTCAGGATTCATTGATTAAGAGAAAGATAGAAAGTTCAAAGGAACAGACTTTGTTTGAAATAGAAATTATTTTGTATAATTATTATTATCATTATCATCATCATCATCATCATCATCATTATCAATATATTAGATGTTTCTGCTTGGGGCCTGCTCAATAGAAGTGCATTTTGAACAAAAAAGAACAAGGATGGGGGAATAAATGTGAGTTCAGCTAGTAGGGTAGCTTCTGTTTTTTTCCTCCTCAGACAATGTTGACAGAACTCAGGTGCCACGCATCCCCTGGCGAGACCTGGGTGCTGTGCATCATGGGAAGGCAGCCAGAGATCTTGCACGACACTTCATCCAGCGCTGGAACTTCACTAAGGTCAGAAGTCAAATGGCTATTTTGAATGTTTGTTATTGTTCTTACAATCAGACACTTCAGAATCTTCAATCATTGCCTTTTCTCTTGTATTCTTATTTGTCTTTTAAGATCTTTAAGAATAAGCACAAGGATGACTTCTACCCGTACCTACTGCCGAAATCCCACTGCACTGCAGATAAGCTGCCATTCACCATCCCTGGTGCCACAAAAGCCTCTGTACAGGTACATGTGTTCATGCAATTTACTTTTCTTTTCTTTGTTTCCACTCATTTAATTTCTTTTCTTTTTTTGTTGTCATCTATTTATTTACATTTTTTTTCTTTCATTCTTCCCTCTCTTTTTCTCCCAGGTTCTTCGTTCTGTGGATCGCTGGTCTGCTGGTACATGTGAACATTCTATCCTCAATGCCTATATACATGTTATCGAGAACAGCGAGCATTACATTTACCTAGAGGTAACACTCACTCTATGACATTACCAAAAGCATTTGCCTCTGACTCATAAGACTTCACGCACACACACACACACACACACACACACACAGAGCTGAACAGACACTGTGCTCTGTTCACACACAAAGTCTCAGTGTTGTGGAGTTGTTTGCAGTGTTCTCTCCCACTAGGATCATGTGATTCTACTGCATTCAGCTGGCAACACACAATAGCCCTCTGCTCTTGCCTCATGCTAAGAAACAGGGTCCTAATGCGAGTCAGCTAAACTAAGAAGAATGGAACAGATAAGCACAGCATTGTACTACAGCCAGAGGAAATGTTTGTCCCTACAGAATGATGAAACCTTTGCATTTGAGAATTAAAAAACTTAACATTCATCAACAAACACTGATATTGTGCAGATGAATTTCTGAAGAATATATTTAAGCATATTAAATATGTTAAACAGGGTTAACAGTACAGTGTTATTGGTAACTAAAATGATATAAACTGCTCACTTAACTTATTTATTTATTATTGATTTAATATTAAGTGATGGACATTAGAATTTATTTAATAAGAATGTTCCCAAGTGCAGTTATTATTATATATTTTATATATTTATTATATATTTTCCTAAGGATTAAATTGTATTCTTTGTTATTTGTCTGATTGTATACTAGCCTATTCATCACAAACATCTGCTAAGTCTACAAATATGCTAAATTGTAGAATTAATTTATTGAGGTAATCCTAACAAGGTTATATATGATATTTTTAAAGTGATAGTTCACCTAAAAAATTAAGTCTTTTAATTTTCATCCCTAGGAAATTAATAGTAATTATACAGTATATATATATATATATATATATATAATAATAATAATGAATAATTAATCAAAATACTTAATATAATTAATCAAAATAATATGAATTTTATTCATATAAAATATAGCTCTTGGTCTTTGTCTACAGAAAATTCAGTGCAGTAAATCTACTAGTAATCATGTGAATAATGGACAAGACCATGAACTAGATCTTGCAGCGGCCTGTTTTATAGTTCACAAACAAGCGAGACAAATTAAATAAACCCCTCTCTTTTGCCTCCTCTTTTTCAGAACCAGTTCTTCATCAGCTGCTCAGATCAGAAGAATGTACTCAATACCATTGGAGATGCTATTGTCAAACGAATCCTACGGGCTCACAGGTTTGTTACCTCTTTAAAAGATTATACAAGTTTATTGAAATACAATGTACTCTGCAGTGCCTTTGTGTTTTTTAGCATGAAGTGTAAGCTTTATTTGAATTGTAATAGTGAGGGGAAGAAGTACAGGGTGTTTGTTGTAATTCCTCTGCTGCCCGGCTTTGAGGGTGACATCAGCCAGGGAGGAGGAAATGCCATTCAGGCTATACTGCACTTCACCTACAGGTACACACACACACACACACCAGCCCAGCCAAACATCTACATCAATACACACACTCGCACAACCCAAAACACTTGTTCATGTTTTGCTAACAGAACTTTTTCTGTGTGTAGAACGATTAATCGAGGAGAACACTCCATTCTCTCGAGATTAAAGGAGCAAAGTAAGTATCTGACAGAAACATATTTAGCTGTCTGTAATTCTGCCACTCTGGTGAATTTTTTTTGGATGCTGTCTCGTTCTCCATCTGCCACTTTCACATCTTATAAAAGTGGCTCTAAATGATTTAGTTTGTGTTGTTGTTTTTTCAGCCATGCATTATAACATTCTACCCATTAACCAATCACACAGATGGTGTGTCATGTATTGTGTTTAATGAGTGTCTCATCTCCCCATCAGTGCAGGACGAATGGACACAGTATATTTCTCTGTGTGGTCTGCGCACACACTCTGAGCTCGGCCAGTCCCCTGTAACAGAGCTCATCTACGTCCATAGCAAAGCCCTCATCGCTGACGACCGTTGCTACATCATAGGTGAGATGTTTGCCTTCACATTAATACAGTAAGACACAATTTACTGTGTCTGTGACCCAGGAAACTTTCAAACCTGTTTTATGTGCATTACCAATCGAAAGATTTGTAAAAATAAATAAGTATTTTTATTTAGCAAGGCTGCATTAAATTGATCCAAAGTCAGTGACAGTAAAGTCGTTTATAATGTTACAAAAGATTTCTATTGCAAATAAAAAATTTAAAAATCATGGTTTCCACAAAAGTATTAAACAGCACAACTGTTTTCAGCTTTTAGAATAGTAACAATAATAAGTGTTTCTTAAGCATCAAATCAGCATATTAGAATGATTTCTGTAGGATCATTTGACACTGAAGACTGCAAAGTAAATACAATTGGGGTATTGTTATCCTGGGTTATGATTTGGGAATAACTGACCCAAGATATTTACTATTTGCATGATGAAGATGAGCTCCAAAGTCCACCTGCTGGTAAATATTGGAATATTGTTCAAATCCAAAATTCTTCATAATGTTCTTCAGGGTCAGCCAACATCAATGACAGGAGCATGCTGGGCAGTCGTGACAGTGAGCTGGCAGTGCTGGTGGAGGATGAGGAAAGAGTTCCCTCAGTCATGAACGGAGAAGAGTACCAGGCTGGACCACTAGCACTCGCCTTACGAAAGGAGTGCTTCAGGTGTGTATACCGTACTTGTGTCCAAGGCAGCTACAGAGATGTATTCAGAGTTGTCAAGCTTTCTGTGAAGGAGTCAAAAAGAGTCCCAACCACCACCTAAAATAAACAGTGTTAAATAAACACACTTAGGAAACTCACATCAGGATTTTTATGATCATGGAAAACCTGGAAATATGAGGGAATTTTGAAATAAGCCTGGAAAAGGCAAGGACATTTGAATAGTGAATGAAAATTTCTTTAGACATGCGTTGCATGGAGGCTCAGAAAGCTGGATCCTCCTGCATTTCCAGCACTGACTCTACAGCGCCACGGCATGAGTTTTCAGTCTGAATCCAATGTGATGAGATAACAAGGCTGTGTACCAAAAATAATGGCAAGAAAACATCATTCTGTTGAGCTGTCCTCACAAATTGCATGCAGGAACAAATATACATGGTGCAACCAGTTGTTCTGCTCAATATTTTTGTGGAAGCCATGTTTTTTTTTTTCCAGGATACTTTTATAAATAGAAAGTTCATACATGCAAAGTCAAAAGAACAGTATTTAAAATAAACTCTTTTGTAACATTATCAGTATCAATTTTACTGTTTCTTTTGATAACTTTAATGCGTTCTTGCTAATTGAAAGGTATTTAAAAAAAACTCCCACTGACCCCAAACTTTTGAACGGTAGTATAGTTCAATTCACAGCAAATGACTCTTATAAGATAGTTATTTTAATAAATCGTTCAAGACGAATCAAAAACTCACAATTTATTTATGTGAATCAGTATGAAGTAAGGCTTTTGTGAGAACTTAAAGCATTTAATTTAAGATATGCTACTTTATGTGCAATCACAGTTGATTGGACAAGAGTGCCAGAGAGAAGTACCATATCATTAATAGTCAAGAGCCAATCACTTTAGCTCTTTTTGCATTTCTCTCCACCAAATGCCTTTAACATAGCTGTATAACGCGAGAGTGGTTCTGTAGCTGTAGCTAGGATAGATTTGTGTTTGTGCAGTGAAGCACCTCAGCTTTCCATTTTGTCCAACTTCTCCCCCGTCTGTGTAGGAGTGTGTGAGTGAAAGAGAGAGGTGTGCGTGTGTGTGAGCAGAGCAATTTGTGTTGGCACGCTGCGTTCCATACTGCCAGCTACCAGAACATCTCTTGGTTCACAAGGGAAACAGTGAGATGCTTCTAATGATGTGTGTGTCTGCAGCACCTTTTACTGCTGGCCTTGGGATGTGACCTCAAGTGATTCTGTTAATGTTCATCTCTGGGTCCTGTGATTTGATTGAATTATTCTACACTAATCTCTTCGTGTAATAGTTTTCGCAGCTCACATTTTTTTGCTTTATGAGACTTTCTACAGAAAGGGCACCCAAAGGGTGCACTGTATCAGTCTAAATGATTTTTTTGGGGGTATTTTTTTATGTTGTCTTCTTCCTGATGTATGAAGTGTTATTAAATTAGTTCTCGATATGATATGGTTAAAGTTTGAAATAAGATAATGGTGACAGATTGTGCAGCAATGCTGTTTTAGAAGAGCTGTTGTCCGTTCATCCTGAAATGCACAAATGTTGTAATAAACTAAATCCCAGAACTAAACGGCTCATAAACAGTCTGACCAATGAGGGAGGGGACATTGCTCACATGTGATATTTATCAACATGCTTTGGTCCATCTAAGTGTTGCATTGTGAAACTGAACCAAGCCGTTCAGAAAATGCAACATTGTAACAGTTTTACCAAGCAAATTAATTGCTGGTCTGAAAATCCTTTTTAAGAGATGGTTCCCCCAAAAATGAAAATTGTGTAATTAATTACTCACCCTCATGTCGTTCCAAACCCATAAGACCTTCGTTCATCTTAGGAACACGAATACATTTTTTTTTTATGAAATCCAAGAGCTTTCTGACCCAGCATAGACAGCAATGCAACCAAAATATTCAAGGCCCAGAAAGGTAGTAAGGACATTGTTAAATTAGTCCATGAATAAAGTCTTTATTTTTGTTTTCTTTTCACACAAAAAGTATTCTTGTAGCTTTATAATATTAAGGTTGAACCACTGATGTCACATGGACTATTTTAAAGGGATAGTTCACCCAAAAATTCTGTCATTAATTACTCTCCTTCATGTCGTTCCAAACCCGTAAGACCTTCGTTCCCTTTTAGTCGGTCACTCCGAGTCACGTCGGTGACCGACGAATTGGGATATTGCTTCGATAGACCAATCTACTTCGAGTGTAAACTAAACGAGCCAATGCACATTGGCATGCAGTTACTGCATCCAGCTGCCGCTGATCACAGCGTGAGAATAATAAGGCAGCAGGTGCAATGCA